TTTAGAATAGCTAAATTAATTTTTTGTTTTTACTTTCCATTTGCTTATTTCTTTGTATAAATTACAAGGTGGACAAAACATCTCATTAGCGTAAGGGTGCTTACTATGGAAGTGTTATGCTTCAAAGCTTTGAAAGCACAAAGTGTTTGAAAACAGAATAATCAGAATCAGGCTGCCCAGCTGTGATTAAAAAGTAATTTTCAGGCTCCTTAACTTCTCCCTAAGAGAACATAGCCGAGTTTACCTTTCATTAGCAGAAACCTACAAAACATTTTTCCTGATAAGGGCCAGCAGTTTATGAACAGTTTATAAAGTCTGATGTTTGAGTAAATTCAAATTAAAGCCTATCCGGAAATGTGGTTTTGTAAACACAATCAGGTTTAACTTTGAACAGTAATATCATCAGACTGGGAAGAAAAAAATAGTCCTGTAAGACTCCGTTTGTTTATTTTCTTAGCTTCTAAACATTATACTAAGGTTTGCATCACAAAAGGGCCCCAGTTTGGTTACAAATCATAATAGTTTCCTAGAAGGACACCACCATAGTAGTATGTGACCAGTCATCTTTGGTTTATCCTTGTGGGCTTTCTTACTTAACTCAGTATCATCTTTCTCAATGTGAGTGACTTTGACTAGCTGCCTACAGCTGGAGAAAAGCACAAAGAGGAATGAGACAATCTGTAATCAGTCATTAACAGCAAAAGCATTCTATGCTTGTGCTGGCTAAACTTTCAAGCTTGTCCTCACACATACACAGTTGTACTCTTTGCCGTTTAAGAGAAAATTAATCAAGCCAATTTATTTTTTCCATCACAATTATAAAATTAGCAAACAAAAACAGTGTGGTACTGTACATAGACATTGGAACTCAGACAAACAAATGTTAGTCTTTGTACCCAAAACATACTGTATAAAGTTGGAAATTTGCCATGGAAATGTAATGATTTAGTAAAATCTCCAGAACTGATATAAGGGGGATATCTCACAGGTGAAGGATGGCTCAAGTAAAAGACGATCCATGGGCTTATTACATATGCTTTCTTGTAAGACTGAAGAAGGAAAGATGGTACAGCTGGGACAGTGATTCATTAGAGAGGTCAGTATGTTTGTGGCTGTTTATGCATTGGTGTATTCTCTATCTAAATCTATAGATCTTTAGAAGAGCCCCTGCTGATCAAAAAGCATATTTCCAAGACTGTTGTGCAAGAGCTGTTTAAGTTTTTTTAAATAGCAGAATCTGGAACGTAAAATGGCAACAGTTATGACCACATCTAATTACGTTCTTGTGTCACATGTCTTGCTGGGCTTTTCAACTTTGGCGAACTGCTGGAAGTCTTTATGTGAACAGGTAATTGATTCCAGACAGAAGCAGCCTGAGAAAGTGAAACAAAAAGAAATCACTTTTGCTTCTGGTCCCAGGGCCCTCCAGACTCATCCTGCCTTGTGGCCTCAAAGCAGAGTTTCTCAGCATGCAGTCCTTCAGGCCACTCCACCCACCCTTATCCATTCAAGATACAGAAAAGATTAAATGGTTATGATTCAGCTGGCTTCTGATTAAATAATTAAGAAGTTCCTTATAACTACAGTATGCTTTTGAAGAAGCAAAAACCTTTCGACTGATTACACAGATATTCTCAAATATCCCTCTTCAAGTAACATTTTAAAATTGACTGGTATCATTAAAAATGTGGAAGGAAGAAATTCAAAAAGTATATAATTAAATGCAAGAAAATCATGCCTACTATTTTAATTTTTACTATATTTTTATTTCAGTGGCATTAATTACTAATTGGAAAAGTTATCTGACAGTCATCTGATAGCTGTCCTTACCCTGCAGAGCTGATTCTTCCTGCAGAGGTTTGGAATGAAGAAGAGAATTAAATAGGAAGAGGTTTGGTAATGCTTATCCACCAAATGGTGGCCACTTCACCAAACTTCACTGGGCAGTTACATTTTGAAATTTACACGCACTTGCCTTACTTTGGTGACTCCCCATGGAATAATGGTTTTATTACTGGACACTTTCTTTCAATGAGCAAAAAGAACAAGTTGAACAGGATCTGGCATGCATTCTGTGATTTGTACAAATATACTTGTAGGATTGCAGGAGATTTTGTGTAGGATTGTAAGTTCTTGTTCAAACAAGTCCACTATTTTTCATTAGGAAAAAGGTCTAGGGAAAGTTGATAAACCCTGAACATGGAATATACTGTACTCTACACTGAGAGAGTTTCATAATCAAAATTCTACTGTTTTTTATAATTGGTAGTGCACAGGATTAACATACAGGTATGCTCATTGAAGCTGCCAAAAGGGGGTTGAAACTTAAAACTAACCCCATGAAGTGTACAAAGTGAAACTCATGCATTGACTGTAGTAAAACAGTGTTGTACTGTTTCACCACTTTCATTCCACTGTTGTTTTGCCTCTGGCAGAAAAATAGAAAATAGCCCAAATCATGCTCCAATAAGTATTTATTGCCATTCTTAGAGATTGTTTTGTTCATCTAAACCATACTGTAAAACTGGGATTCTGCTGAAACAAAAAACTGAAGTTTTAGGACTATAGCACATTGCAATCTAATTTAAGTAAAATGTATTAAATCCATTGGTACCATAAAAATCTTAAACACATCAGCTAAATTTGCCATAGGGCCAAACAGCAAGTCAGATATTAGAAATCCATCCTAATATGTTTTTCCTGTCCTATAGTACATCACTATAACACCAGAATACCAGATAATCCCACTGCAGATCTTGCTACATGTAGGCCTTCGACTGATATCCACACAGGCTGTTTTAATAGAAAAACAAATCAATTTTAATGTCTTGGCAAATCGGAACAATTTACCTTAAAAGCATGACGGAAGGAAGGGACTATTGAGGTTTTGTCGTCCTTTGTGGTCAGTTCCTGTGGAAGCTCAGTGGAAGAGCCTGTTTTTTATGTCCCGTCTGCACGCAAAAGACCTCTTTTTTCTGAGAGCAGTGAGACTTTCTTAGGGAAACGCATAACAAAAACAAATAGATGCGTAACATCAGGCAGTGTTTGTGTTCTTGTCTGCGTGGGCCCTCTCTGTCGGGCTGGCGGAGCAGCCCACCCACCCTGATGAACCCGGAGCTGTCTGGGCTCCCAGGACATGTGAGAGGGAGCAGGACATTGGGGTGGGAAGGTTCAGCTCGTCTTCAGCTCCATCCCGATTTGCCTCCTTCCTTGCCACAGGCATATGGGGCCTGAGATGAGGATTCAGTTACAGAAGACTCCTCTTAATGTGGTTAGGCCTTTTGTCCCCTTAAAGTGGCTGTCGGCAGTAAACCAAGCTGCTAGAAGAAGAGATGTTTACAACAAAGTAAACAGCAAATTGCTTTCAGTTTAAAATGTCATTCAGAAGGCGTCCTTTGTTTCTGTCTCCTAAGACATGCACACTCCCAAGCCAAACACTTCGACTACGGACAAGATGGATTTCTTCTGGCTTGTAAATTCTGTCTCGGCAAATCAAAATGCACTGTACTTGTGCTTTTCTATCATCTGGACACACTTAAAGTTCCATAGTGGAAATGCATAAAATACCGAGGTGTTCTTAACAATTTCAACAGTCAAAACTGTCATTAAAGTGGTATATACAAAAATTAGCATGGAGGCTCCACTGCTCTGTTGGAGGTGCCATATCCTTCATGCACAAATTGGCCTTGAGCTGGGATTTGTGTTTTCAAAAACTAATTTCTCCACTGGAAGAAATTTCACAGTTTCAACAACCATTACCGTGTATCCCTGAAGCACAACAGTGTTATCAAATTTAAGATGCAATGTTGCATGAGGAACATTTTTGTGATGTAGTGCACTTTTATATTTATATACACTCGCATACCTCATTCAATTTATTCTAATAATGCCCGTGGGGTTTATACCCTTACTTCAGCTTTGGGAATAATTTGAGATGGGATATCATATTTGAATGCTGTTAGAGGTGAAGTTATTTTTCTAAATTTCTCATAATTGTGATCAATCTGAAAACTGGAAAAATAACGTTAATGAACACCTTGATATGCAGCATTCATTGCTCAGAAATCCTAAATGATCTTCATTTTAATAGACTTAAAATTGTTTGATTGTAAGAAAACAGATTATAAAGTTTAGAGTATACTATGCCTGACAAAAACAAATTAATTTCTGAAGAATAAAATGGAGGATTTTTTTAAACAAACAATTGCCATGTGCAAATTAGATTTTTCTGTGTTTTCACTTGTTTTCTGTGGTTCCGATTTGCCTTGGTTTGCTATTTTTACTCTATATGAGACCTATTCTAGGGCTTAATTCTGGGTGCATTTGTCATCTATTTGCAAATAATGCACAAGTATGGACTTTAATTAAAGAGATTATTTAAGCAGTCATATTAAAAGCAATTTCTGTTTTTTAACAAATCCTCTGAAGTACTGATAATGTGAAATGGAGGCTTTTGACATTGGATGTGGAAATAAATAATATATTTTGTGTACTAGGGGAGTAGTGTTTTTTCAACCCTTTCTCCACTATGGACCATATTAAAATTAGTACAATATATTCTGCAAGGGCTATCTGAGAAGTGGCAAAGGAAACAGAACAGACCAGATTAAAGCAGTGGAAAGTTTGTATAGTACAGTACTTGAGAAAACCATCTCTGTAGCCAAAAAGCCCATTGAAATATATTTTTTTACAAAATCCCAGAGCAGCTGAAACAGATGATTGTGAAGTCAGAACACTTTGAGCAAATAAATGCAGTATAAAGTAAGTCTTGGCAACAAGGTAGGAGCTGGCAGAACATGGTATGAACAACGAAGCAAAACTGAATCACAAACCTGTGGCCATAGCTGACTGTGCTGGTCCCCACTGAGCGCTGCAGTGGGCTCTGTGTTTCAGTTTCAGTCCAGGAAGGCAAGGAAAAGACTGACCCCTAAAATATTTTGCAGGTATCAAGAGATCCGTGGAGCTAATCTAAGTGATGTGCTTTGTTTTCTCCCTGACAGGCAGCCTCTTCAGCACTCAGCAGCCTGGGCCACGTGTACACAGCCATTGGGGACTACCCCAACGCCCTGGCCAGCCACAAGCAGTGCGTCCTGCTGGCCAAGCAGTCCAAAGACCAGCTTTCGGAGGCACGGGAGCTGGGCAACATGGGCGCCGTCTACATTGCCATGGGTGACTTCGACAACGCTGTGCAGTGCCACGAGCAGCACCTGGGCATTGCCAAAGCCCTGGGCAACAAGCGGGAGGAGGCCCGGGCCTACAGCAACCTGGGAAGCGCCTACCACTATCGCCGCAACTTTGACAAGGCCATGTCCTACCACACTCACGTGCTGGAGCTGGCGCAGGAGCTGGCAGAGCGGCCCATCGAGATGCGGGCCTATGCGGGCCTGGGCCACGCGGCTCGCTGCATGCAGGACCTGGAGCGAGCCAAGCAGTATCATGAGCAGCAACTGGCCATCGCAGAGGGGCTGAAGGACAGGGCAGCTGAGGGCCGAGCGTCTTCCAACCTGGGTAAGAGCACTAAAGCACAGGGCATGGCTCAAGGTACAGTGCTCTGTACAGTGCCCTGGTGACAGGGGCATTGCGGTCAGGAAAGGATTGACTAAAGGTTACTCAAGAGTAGTCTACTTTCTTTTTCTAAGGGTCTAAGTTGTTTTATTTTTTCTACAGATTTTATTGCTGATTACTTTATGTTGACTGGGCAACCAAGACGGTAATCTCAGAATTGGCCGAATTACATGATGCACTGAATCCTTGACTCCATGTGATGTAATGGTGTCTTGGTATTTCAGTGGTCACAGCCATCTGCTGCAGAGTAGCTTTTGGACCCAATGCTGAGCCTTGCAGGAAAACGGCAGGAGACCCGGCTTCTTCATTTAGGGCTTACAGCGCTGTCTTCAAAACCATCATTAACAATCTGAAGTCAAATAGATTATACAAGAACAGCCAAAGACTCAAACTGAGCTCTTGTAACCTATCATTTTTATGAGTGAAGAGAGTATTATTGCCCTGGTCTGAGGCACACTGTGATCAGAGATACCATGCACTGCAAATGTGGGTCTGACCCATTATTAAATATTTTCTGCCACATCCTCTTCTCCTGGCAGTCACTATTTCCGATCTCTTTTCCATTTGTCTCCCCACCAAGGTGACCGATGTCTGTGATGAATGTACCAGTAACACCACTGGCACCATCTCAGAGTGTGCGCACTAGAAAACACTTCTAGACTCTGCTAATGCCGTCTGTGGCGAGCAGTTTGTAATTGACCTGCTGAGCCATGATTACAGTGCAACGGGAATGACATCACGCAAGGGGATCGTTGCCAAATGCAGTAAGATAAACAACCCTAATAAAGGGGCCAGACAGTGTATTTCCAGCATTAGGATGCAGCTGACAACTGAAAATTAAAAGGCCTGAAAGCCATCCCAAGGACAAAAAGGACTGTTTGTCCCCAGAGTAAATGTTTAGAATGGGTTCCTGAACTGCTTTCTGTGGTGAAGTTTTTTTGTTGTTGTTAGAACACAGTTTAGATGATTTTCTGGGAATTAACAAGCCAGTTGTGGTTGGAATGTATTACACATATTGAGAGAAACTGCTTGTTCACCACATGACACAGGTATTAGTATGCTTGTGGTGCAGTCCTTTGACATCAAAAAACCTACAACGTACTGAGATCAGGGTCTTCCGTGCAGTACTGTCACGTAGAGTTAAAAAGAGCATCATGTTATTCTTTCATTTGGAAAGTGCACATGGCGTAACATTCAGTTAGCATTATGAAACCAAATTATTAATGGCCTGTTCTAAATTAAAACACGGTTCAGCTTGCTATTCTCATTACGTCGTTTGTCTGCAGGCATCTACCTTGGCTTTCACGATGGCCATTATTAATAATGCACATGTTTTTTTGCTCCCGTTCCCCCTTAGTGGTTCCCCCAATACATCTTGAGAACCGTGCAAGAGCAGCACTGTTAAACTCCGGGCTCATGTGCACCAGCTCAGAGCATCGTTAAAAGGAGACAGGCTTTTAGGAGTAAAGTTATTCTGGTCCCCTAGTTGCTTCTGTAAACTGAAGACCTCTCTCTAAACAGAATAATAAATTGTTTTTTGTACAATGTTAGGAAGACAAATGTTAAAACAACTGTATTACTTGCATTTCACATATTTCTGGAATACCTAGAGAGAGCATGAGGCTAGCAGATTTCCCACCGCATGTTTCGTGAATACTTGAGGCCAGATAATATCCTCGAGTAGAGAAGGGGTCAAAGTAGGAGGTGACTTTCAGAAGATACGGAAGTCACAAATGAGAGGAGAATATTTAGTCCATCTTACGCATTTGTTGGATCAAGCATACAAGAATCCCAAAGATCCATTTCTTAAAGGATCTAACAGAATCAGCTTCAAACACTAATGCTAGGGAGCTGGTTCCCTCAGCTGTCCTTCTCAGTCCTGATGCTTCCAGCACTTAGTGCTGTTGTTCATCTAGACGATCCCCTTGATTCCCTTTCAAGAATGTACAGTACACTGCCCTTCAGATTTATTAATTAAACAGAAAACGTTGTATAACAAAACAATTTACAGACTGGACTACAAATCATTATGATTTGTTTTTGTTTTTTTTCTAAATTCTTAAATTTGTTTTTTTTTGTTTATATTCTTGTGAAGAACTTGGGAATATTTGTTAAAGGTTGAAAGGTGGTATATTAATTAATCGTTATCATAACTATGTTTTATATAGCACTTGTAACAGACCAGACTATGGAACAACAGTATTAACTGGGCCTTGATCACCTGTAATTACTGTAGGTGACCTGGGTGCTAATAAGTTAATTGATTAGATTATTGGTGATGGTTTAAAAGTACACATTGGTGTGATGAATGTGGATGAGTTTTGGTAGCAGGCTGCTTTAGAGTGCTTTTTGTCATGATGCCTGCAGACCTTTCCACCATACCATTCCCATTATTGTTATTGTGGGTTTTCATGCGCTCAGGTCTCTAGAGCCACCTTACTGAGGTCTGTCAAACCACTCCACATCCCAAAAGGTCCCAAAGCGTTTTACACCTAAACTGGAACCTGCTTCATCTACCCCTGAAGGACAGCACTCACCTGGGTGATATGTGGCAGCCATTCAACACCAGCTGCCCCACTACAGAGCAGATCAGCAGGAGAAATGGGAAATTGTATCACAAATGTAATGAAGGGGGAACGTTAAGGAGGCTAGACTGTAGAAGTACAAAGTGGAATTTAAGCAGGAGTCTGGGGCTGAGACACCTACTCTTTCGTTTCTTTAATGACTAATTAGTGAGGAACCTAGATAAATGTCTCATCTTAAGGATGCGACCTCCCACAGTGTCCCAATTCACCAGGCTCCTGCACTGGTTGTGGAAATTCTGGTGTAGTTTGAAGAGTGCAACCTACTGCTCCACAAATAATGCTTTCAGCAGCAACCTGATTTTCATTGGAGGACTTCCATCCTCATACTCCTTCAGTTCACCCTTGCTTAGCTTCTGAGATCTGAGGGGATCATGCTAAAAGGTGACAATGATGCTGTCAAACTAAAATTGATTATATCTGCATGTGTGCTTTGTGAAACTTTTACTAAATCTTTCTAAAACAGTTCTATTATATATTATATTGTCTTTTAAAATGATTACACATTTATTGAAATACAATATAATGTGCTTTATTTGAGTGTGGAGTTAAATTAGGGATATAATGTATAGTACACTTAATGTCAAAATCCAAAGACTGAGCTAAGCTTTGGCAATCTGGATATTTACAAAAGCCTAATCACAGTAATCTTCTACTGAACATTCCTCTGGGACTAAATGTGAATCCATAATGTATTGTTAAATTAATCAGATTAAACTGAGTGTTTAAACCCCTTCAATTTTTTATGTGGACTTTGACTAGATTACTTAGGTATTCATTTGTCTGCACAGGCAAGAACTTAATCATTTTATATTAAATTAGTTTCCTGCAGTAAAAACGATCTAATTTTAGTTCAAGGCTTAATCACCAGTAGCTCCAGAAGATCCTTAGTGCTTTTGTTCATGCAACACATTGCTAAATTTAATCCACTGCAGAGGCTCTGTTGGGCTAAAACAGTTAATATCAATTAATGTCTGATGTGTTTAGTGTTAAGCAAAGTGTTCATTGTCACTGTACTCAAGTGAAATTTTTTTTACTTTGCTGTTAGTAAGACATTTTCAGATATTTTTAGTGAAGGACCTTTAAAGATCAGGTAGAATAACCAGTTACTCAAATTTAAAGGGAGTAATTAGATAGAAAGGAGCTGATATAGATAGTATCAGGAGGTGAATGTACAGTAAATACACTTCATTGAATTTATTTTTCAATTTCTTCTTATCATTACTTTAATTACCCCTTGTAGCCAAGCAGGAGTAACGCAGGGAGTTTATGCACATCTATACAGTCCAGAAGGCAGAGTTTAGTTTGTCAAGCTAGGGGTGTGTAGTTGCAATTAAAGGTATAAACACAAATAAAGAACAGAAGAGGGGATAACATAGGACCTTACACATTTAGTTACCTATTGCTTTTTGATGCACAAATCTCTTCTGTCGTCTTCTCAAGGAATCGCAGGGAATCTGCTACAAATTTCCTTTTCTGAAGGAACTTCTGTAGCAGAATTTGGAACAAGCAAAGTATGGTAGGTCATGTTGTCTGTTACGATTGTTTATTGGAAGGCGCAGCTTTAAGAAACATAAGCCAACCAAATTGAAGGCATGGGTAAAATGCATATAGTGCATTATCCTTTGATGGTAAATTGTGACAGGCTTTTTGGAATTTTGGCTTTTGCACACGATGTAGACTTGTGCACTAGACGATTTAGACTTGTTCAGGACCGGTCAGCTAGTCACATTGGGCGACCATATTGAAATTGTCAAAAAAGCATTCAGTTGTATTCTCTGAATGCTTGGTTGATTACTGTGAAATGCGCTACATGTACAGTAACCTTGGACAAGTTCTCTCTTTTCTATAGACACAGTTCACTACATTAAGGAAACATTTGAAGCCGATCAAATTCCATGTGTGACTAATATGCACATCTGTGCATATAGTGCAGCATTTATCTTTATTTAAATATTATAGGTTCTTGAATAATCATGGAGAAGTAGTACCCTATACTCCTTGTATTCCTCTGATTAAAGCTTATTGGTCACATGATATGCCAGTCATATCACCTTTCATCTTTCCTCCTGATCAAATTAAAAATGACCTTATAACTCAATAATGAGGATGGTCATGGTATTATGGAGCACATACAAGGAGCCATACTGTATGTATTCTATAAAAGAAGCATTCTTGCCCTTGAAAAGCGATGTTATTTATTGTGATGTTATTGCTGCATTTTTAAAGATTTACACATCTAGTTGTGTTTCTTTATGTCCCAGCCTCTTGCAAGGAGAGTATGTGATAACGTATTTTTTTTGGTTTATCGAGCAGTTGAAGTTGGTGATGTTTTGGGGAGTTTTAAGGCTTCTGCAACTT